TGAACAAATCATACAGATGTTAGTACAAGTTTTTAAAAGAAAGCCAACTAAGTGACATCGAAATCCACCTTAGACCATGGGAAGAGTCAACTCTGGAGGGCAGAAGAGAAACTTGAACATGTAGTCAGAGGTATTTGTATAGTCTTGAGTACAACAGTAGGCTGCTTCTGTTGACAGAGACAGGTTTTATCAGGGTTGGGAGGAAACACGAATAGTATTTCAGCTTATGTCAGGAGATTCCAGGATCTGGCCGCTGACAACCGCTTTTCTAATGCCCTTCAGTGGAGCACAGCCTTGATGAATTTCATGCTAATCTGTAGATCTTATTTTCAACACCTGTATGAAATTAAAAGTTGGATCTTCTGCATTCTGGAATTACAAAGGTATAACATAGCATAAAAGTATTAAGTAGTTTTATGTGAAATTGTGCAAAGAACTGCAAGTCTCTACGATGCAAAAAGGATTTACATTTGACTTGTTAAAGTGACACAAAGACAACATATACCTTGTGCATTTTACATCATGTATTATTTATGCTCACATTCCTCTTGGATTCTAGACACATTATGTTCAGGAGCATCACACCTTTTATTTGAGATGGTTCACATTTTCATATCATACATACATGCTGTTGGGCCAGCCTTATATTTTATAATTTTTTTTTTTTTCAGGAATTGTCTGGAGTGAGAGTACAATGATGGAGTATTTGGAAAACCCTAAGAAATACATTCCTGGTACAAAAATTATTTTGCTGGAATTAAAAAGAAAAATGAAAGAGCTGATCTTGTTGCATACTTGAAAAAAGCAACTTCTTGAAGCACTGCTGCCACAGTTGTAAGGTTAGTGAAAAATGTTTTGGATTTTGATTAGCTGCTATGTCAAGTTTTAATATTTTTAATCTAATTATTCCTTAGGGACTGGCATTAGTAAAATCAAACAAGGATATGTCTGAAGATGCTATGTTCTAATTAAAAACATTGGAAGGTGAGAATAATTTATATTGTGTTATATATTTCATAGACCTTTGTGAAGTGTGCTATAGAAATGCTGTTCCTTTCTATAAGGAGATCTGAGAGCCCAATCTGCAACTAATTATTAGAACACTCAGCAAAACTATTATCTAATTGTGGCTACGTAAATAAGAAAGTGCCTGTAAACAGTAGGACTGACAACTACATGAAGTTTTTATTCCGGAAAAACAATCCTCAGCATTATCACCTGTGAAGGAAAGTACCATCTACAGTAGGTAACAAAACATAACCTTACATTTAAAGAACACTACATAAAAGTGGGGGAGGTGGAAAACCAAGAATATCGGATATTTTCAGAGAACAAGTAACCTTTCAATAGTGATGCTGACCTGAATCTTGAGGAGATACCTGAACACCATGATCTCTTTGGTTTAAAAACACTGCCCCACTCTGTTTAGTGGGGGGTTAGTCTGTTCCTCTGTTACTGTTCCTTTGTGTATTAAAAAAAATAATAATAATTCTCTACCGATCTGTTTTCAGAGTTGTGGGTTCTTTGTCTCCATTTGAGGCTAATACACTAAGGTATCTTTAACCTCTAACATCTAGAGTGAATGAGGGATAACTAGGTCAAGCAAATGATAGTAGGAGATATTTTCACCAACAGCAGAGGATTGATGAAGGCGATTAAAGTCCTCCTAAAACCTCCTCATGAATCTTCTACCACTTGAATTGAGATTTACAATTTAATTCTCAGTTTACACAAATGTAATACATTAAAACATACTTCACTCAATTAAGGTTTCCTTATGTCTTTGCAGAAGGGAACATTAATATAAACTAATTTACTACAGTATCTATTCCCAGGTCCTCACTTTATCAGTATTGTTCTGATGCTTACCCACCAGGAGCTTTAACCAGTTGTCTTGCCATGCTCCAAGGAGCTCAACTGCTGTTTTTAAGTAAGGGAATAAGCAAGAGTGGGCTGAAAAGTTCTGTGACACAACCAGCTTCCTTTTTCTTTTGTACTGTACCTGTAAGATAGTTCCCCCTTTCAGTTTGACAGCTGGGACCTGTTCTGTTGACTGTTTAGACAATTAAAGCATCTGCCTCAATGACAAAAATTTTCTGGAGTGCTTTTCTCAATTGCACTTCGAAGAGTTTTAAGAGTGCATTTGCCACTTTCTGAATAGAGAAACACGCTCTGCTGAGAAATAAACTCTAGTTTCTCCTCTTGATTCTTTTAGGGCACCTTTGCATGCTTGTACCCGAGGAGACCAGGTGGGACTGGCTAAATTCTGCTTTGCTGTCTGAATTGTCTTTGTGCATCCACACAAATAAAGGGTGCATCATACATCAGATGCAGCAGATAAAAGCTGTCTGTGCCTCACTGCAGCATAGCTGTAGAGTTACGAAGGCAGCACAATCCTATGACACTGACAAAATCCATTTGCCTCTTTAGCCCTCCCATGAAATGCCTCAACTAATCTGTCTCAGGCTCACACACAGAGCTGCAGCCCAGTATACTGTGTGCTTGATTTACTAACCCTGCAAACAGAGGTAAAGCCTGATGTGTGCAGAACACAGACCCAAGTTTTCTCCTAACACTCAGTGATGCACCTGGCCAGCTTTGTGAATCAGGTTTTACAAAACCTGTGCGAGTTACAGAAAAGACAATTCATCAAATGTGATAATTTGTCACATTGTATCTGGAAACACTAAATTGGTTTAAGCTTTTACATACAGAACTGCTACACAGTAACCGTTATGTAGTAAACATTGGTGTGAGTGCCCAGACCAAACCTTACCATAGTGAGATGGCACAAAATATTTACGTACAGTTCTTTCACTTGTATGCAGATCCCCAGGGTCCTTGCTGGAGAGCTCAAAGTGCCTGCCAGGCCTTCAGCAGCTTACGCGGTATCTTTGTGCAAGTGAAGTGTTTGTGCCAGCGTTGCAAAACCACGAATGCTACTGGAAAGGCCAAATAGCGATTAGCAGCTTCGGGAAAGCGGGCGCCCTGCAAGGCTGACGCTGACGCAGTGCCAGCAGCTGGGGCCACTTCAGTGGCAACACAAGCAGCAGTGTACAGATGTGCGCCAACAGCGGGGCCTCCGCCGCCGACGTGGCGCTGTGCCTGCTGCCGCGTGTGAAGTCCCTTCACTTCACAGCCCCGGCAGCGTGTCAGCAGCGCGCCGACAGAAATGCGTAAAACATTGAATGTTTCAGTCGCCCTTGCCCTCACCGAGACGCACCCGCAATTTCATGTCCACGATACCTGTATGAACAAGCTCAGCTTCTTTAGAGGTGCGAGCAGCTCCGGGGCGAACCCGTAAGCGTGTCTTGCGACGTCCCCTCTTCCCGCCCCTCGCCCAGTCCTCTCGCCGCGGGTGCGGCAGCCGGGAGCCCCCCGGCAACTCAGCTGCAGCTAAGGCACGCTGCGGCGGCAGGGAGCAGCCCCTTCCCCGCGCCACGGCAGCCCCCTGCCAGGAGAGCAGAAAGAAGCCGTGCCGCTGACCGAGGGGTAAGCCCGGAGCCCTGGCACCACGGCAGCCCGGGGACGGCAGCAGTGAGGGAGCTGCTACTCCGCCTGCAACATCGCAGGCACCGAGACCGGGGGCAGATACCCTTTGTCTGTCGCTTCTCAAGCAGTCTCCGGGAGCCACAGCACCTTCAGGGAGCCTCTCGCAACCCCCGACTGCTGCGGGAGACACGGCAGCCCCTCGGGCACACACGCAGCCCTCCCTCCCCCAAAACCCACCTTCACTATCCACATCTGTCCCGAAATCGTTCCCTCTCCTTGCAAGCACTGCCTGCATCCCCGAGCCGGGATGGGCTGCTGCAGGAGCAGGGTCCCCGGCAGGTCGGAATCTCGTTTTATTGAAGGTTTGCCCGTGTGTTTTCCCAGCCACCCAAACTCCCATTCATGAATTTCTGAAGCTGCCTCCATTCAGTCTTTGGTGAGCGCATGAAAGACATTTTTCACGTGTTAAGATCCATGACTCCGTTTTGTGGGTTTTTTTTTTTTTTCAGTCGCTTACGCGTAAGCATCGATTTTGCAATGAAACGTGTTCCACGTGCGCATAAAAATAATCCCGGTCCGTCCGCCCGGTGGATACAGTCGGCTTCCCCCTGGCAGCCGGTGCTGCAGGAGCGGGCGCCCAGGAGCTCCTCGGCAAGCCCGCTACCGCCGAGCGCCCGCCGGGGAAGCGGTTCGTGGGTACAAGGCTCTGGGCGGCCCCGCGGGCAGAGCCGGCTCCCTGCCCCGCTGCACGGCGCCCAACGCGGAAAGCCGGGCAGAGCCGGTCCACCCGCGGGAGAGATGCGGGCTTCTCAACGCGGGGATTCAACAAACGGAATTCTTTTGGTCTTCCTGGAGGGACTCCGCGTTTCTGCCTGTCTGCTGAAGTGCTGAAGTACTGAAGCGGCGCAAATAACGCTATAAATCAAACCTCTTTAACGTGAGCGCTCGCCTTAACTCCCCCCGCCCCGCCCGCAGACCGGGCTTGCCCCTTCCCTTGCACACGCATGACAGACAAAAGGACCCTCCCTCTCCCCCCGCACACGCCCACCGATGATCCTGAATGAGGCGCCCACTGCTGCGAAGCTCCTTAGCGCAGCACCCCCTGCTCGCGGTCCTCCTGCCGGGCACCCTGCGCGTTTTTACCCTTCTCCCCCAGCTTTCCCCGGGGACGCTTGTGAGGCGGCTGTCGCCAGGCTTGCGGCGGTGCTCCCCCCCCCCGCAGCGGGGCTCGCCAGCCCGCCCTCCTCCCCGCCTGCCCCCTCGCTCGGCTCCCGCGTCCTCCCCCCACCCGCCCCTCCCTCCCTCCCTCCCTCCCTCCCTCCTCAGCGGTCCGCCGGCTGGGTTACGCAGCAGCCGCCGCCAGCACTGACAGCGCCTGGCAGAAGCGGTTTGCCCGAGCGCTCCCGGAGCATCTCCAGAGGCGCGGCGGCAGCGCCTGCCCGGCTCACTGGGGTAGCCGGCCCAAAACCGGGCGCCGGGGCCACGACCAGAGAAGGGCTGAGAGTCAAGGACCAGGCAAATACCTAGAATAATACTAATACTACTGCTAATAATAATAAAGAGTGTGGGCAGGAAAAGGAGGTCTCGGGGGGAAGCAGAGGGAGAGAAGAAGGCGCGCCCCCGAGGACGGGCCCGGGCAAGGGGCAGGACCGGCTCCTCACTGGGGCTACCGGCACACCCCGTGCCCCGGGGCGGCCGTCGGGGCGGCAGCAGCACGTGGAAGCGGCGGGGCATGGCCTCCGCGGGGGCTCCTGCGGCCTGAACCACCCCCACTGCCGGCACCATGGCGGCCGCCGCCGACACTGGCCTCGACGTGGCGGCGGTGGAAAGTTTCCTAGAGAGGCACCCGGAGCTGGTGGAGAAGTGGCTGAAGAGGAAGAACTCGCTCCCTAAAGCGCCCTCGGTGCCCGCCGCCAGCCCGTCGGAGGAGCGCCGAAGCAGCTGCGGCCCCAGCGGCGGCTGGGGCAGTGCAGGCGGCCCCGGCGTCCTCCAGCGCCGAGCCTCTCAGATGGAGCTGCGGAAGAGCTTCGCCCGCTCCAAGGCCATCCATGTCAACCTTACCTACGACGAGCATGTGCACGCCCGGGCGCAGGAGCCGCTGAGCAGCGTACGGCGGCGGGCGCTGCTGCGGAAGGCCAGTTCCTTGCCCCCCACCACCGCGCACATCCTCAGCGCCCTGCTGGAGTCCCGCATCAGCCTGCCCCAGTACCCCCCCACTGCCCTGGACTACAAGCGCTACCTCAAGGAGCATAACGAGCGCCAGTTCTTCCTGGAGCTGGTCAAGGACATCTCCAACGACCTGGACCTCACTAGCCTCAGCTACAAGATCCTCATCTTCGTCTGCCTCATGGTAGACGCCGACCGGGGCTCCCTCTTCCTCGTGGAGGGGGCCGCCGCCGGCAAGAAGAGTTTAGTCTCCAAGTTCTTCGACGTGCACGCCGGCACCCCGCTGCTGCCCTGCGGCTCCACCGAGAACAGCAACGAGGTGCAGGTGCCCTGGGGTAAGGGCATCATCGGCTACGTGGCGGAGCACGGAGAGACCGTCAACATCCCCGACGCCTACCAGGTAGGAGCCGGGCAGGCTCCCAGGGCTCCACCGTCCCCAGCTCCCCCCCGGACCTGGGCGGTGGATGCGCCTGCCGGGAAGCCTCGCCGCCGTCCTGCCCTTCCTCCCTTCTGGGGCGTCCCTCCCCGCCGCCCGGCTTCTCCCCGGGCCGTCCCTGCCGGGGGTTACGCGTAGCGGGCGCGGGTACGCTCGGATCAACTGTTGACGGGGCGGGAGGGGACTCCCATGAAGGGGGGAGGAAAGCGGAAAGCCTCTCCCGGTGGCCGGCGGGGCCAGAGTGGCCATCAGATCGGTCCAGCAGTGCTGCTGGATTTCGCAGGAGTGTTACTTCCCTTCATGTGTTTTCAAAACGTGTTTTGGAATCGGTTGAAGAAAAGTTTAAAAAAATGCCCGTGACAGTCCCGATGATAACATCCTTAAATCTCTGTCTCGTTAATGTTTTCTGTCTACCCTCTGCTAAAGTAATTTCACTGCTTTCAGAGGAGCATATATTTTCAACTTTGCCTATGCCCACTGAGCCCCCATGGCATGTATTTTCAATCATATTCCTAGGAGTGATAACCAGTCTTGTTCTCCTACAAGGGTTTTTGCCACCTTTCCCTTTTATAGAGGCTTCAGTATGAATTGTGAAAAAGTAGTCCTGGCTTCAAGGCAAAAATTCCCATTGACTTCAGCAGGGACCGATGTGTCTTCGCCTACCTGTGTAAATGCAAACCGGTGCATTCAGTTTACTGGCTTGAAACGTACCTCTCAGTCCTAGGGGCTATTTCTACTGTTTATTTGTGTGAGACACTGTCAGCAGTTTGAGGCTCCCGAGAAAATTAAGAACCACAGACAGATTGAGAAACTCAATTAGGATCTTGGAAAGCTTCAGAAAGGTGGGAGATGCATGTCTTTAAGGATTTTAGTGATAATCATTGCCCAATGCCTAATTTTGCTAAAACATTATTAATGTTTTAATAAACATTAAAAAAATCCTGTTGATGCTTTATAGCAAACATACAAGGAAGAAACTTGAAAAATAAAATTGAATTATTTTTGTTTGAAATGCAGAAGAGCCAAGGTAAATGTATTTTGGGCCGAATACTTATTTATTCGTCAAGCAGTGAAGAATACCAGGGAACTCACAGATCTAGACAGACAGAGGTTCCCAACCTACAGAGTTCAAAGGGAATGAACAGAGCTGGTGAAAAAAGCTGCATTATTCAGACTAAAATGACTGAGTGTTGGATCGCCTTTGAAAAAAATCTGTTTTCTTCCTTTATTTTTCCTTTTCACCATTATACACCATCTGATTATTTTTTTTTTAATGATTATTACTTCTCAAACTGTACTTTTCCCAAATATCTTCTGTTGGGGGTTAAGTAGATGCTTTCAGTAGTCTCAAGTGGCTAAACAGATAGAAAGGATATCTGAGTTTGGCTGTGAAAGGGCTTGATTTCTCCTTTTAACTCTGGATAGCTCCAGCCAACTTGTTTTGAGAATGCCAGTGGAAAGGGTGCTTTGTAGTCCCAGGGGACTGAATTATTTTTTCTTCAGTGTTTGTTTATTTTGTGTTCCCTTCCCTTATGAAAAAGCCCCACTACTTTAAACAGTTTCTTGTCTGTTTAATTCGCTGAGAAAAGTGAAAAACAATCCATCCAGTTGCCATTCCTGATATTATTTATATTATGCTTTTGTTTGGCTCCTATCCAAAATTGATGAAAATATTATAAATAATAATATAAAAATATAAAATATTATAAATAATACAATTCACTGTCTATTTAAGCCACAAGTACATTAGTTGCAGTAGAAGGGAAAGTTCTAAGCCAAGTTCATCCTGTAATTTTATCAATTGCAACTTCCCTGCTTTCAGTGGTGTTACTTCTGGTTGTGCAACTCTTGTGCAAAAGAAACCTTGCAACCTTAATGAAAGTTTTGCTTGATAATAAAATGGGGATCTACTTTCTATTATGTTTCTGAATTAGTTTATCTTCTTTTACCTGACAAATATATATCCATTGCGCATCATTAAAAGGAGACCTTTATAATTTAATAGTATAGAGAGCCCTATGGAAGCCCAGGTACATCTGTGTAAAGAAGCGACAGCTGTTCCATTTCAGATCATTGTAGTGCTCACAATACAGCACTTTAAAAATTAATAAATATGATTGTATGATTTTTTTTGCCAGCATTGCCACTGGTGCTGGGAGTGTTTAAACAACTGTCAGGTAAAAGAAAGTACCACCAGGAAACTTTGTCAGGCTGACAGGTGGAGTTGAAGATAAAGGGGTGACAGCACAGCACCATTTTGTTGACTGAAGAGAGTGTCTGCATCAATACTACCCACTTGGTAAGAAAAGGCCTATATGATAGGACAGAAGAACACCTCAAGATTAAACTTTTACTTTTTTTGTTGCTTTCTTCTTGTTTTGTTTTCTTTTTTTCTTTAAATAGCAAACTTGTTTAAAAAGGTAAAGATACTACTGTATAATCACTTGGCTAATTTACAGTGTTGGGAAATTTGTTTTATTATCATCCAACCATCTTTATTTTCTCAGAGCCTGCTCTAATACCAATTGGAATTCCACCATTGAATACAAATTGGGTTGCCTGCTTCTATCATCAGCTACTACTGACATTAATAGGACTTCAGTGCAATCCACATTACATGTAAATCCTGCCACATCTTGTAATGTGCTTCACACAGGCAGTCCCCTGTGCTCATACACAGACTGGTTTAGGAAATCTTTGTAAGTGGCTGGCAGTGTAATTTTCAGAGATTGTGTTAAGTTTTCAATTACACATTTATTTTTCTAAAGAGAAAAAGTACTAAAAAATGAAAACAAACAATAGGCTGGGGCTTTTCCACAATCCAGGTGATTATTACTGTTGTTGAGTCAGACTTTCAAAACCTGCTCATGGAAACAATTTTCCATAGTTCAATAAGCATACTTAGATAAAAGGTTTGGAACTAGCATTATGTATTGAGGTCTGTATAATAATGAATTCTTTTAATACTAAACAAAAACTATATAATATCTCATGGCACTTTGATTTAGGAAGTTCAGCAGTGACTGAACAAACTCTTTGGAGTTTCACAGCATCAGAGAATTTGACACATACTTAGTTAATAGAAAGGTTTCTTTTGATAATGACTGATTCAAAAATTGCACAATTTCATTCATGGCATTAAAAGAGCTTTATTTATTGCATTGCAAAATCAAGTGATGAAAGCGAGTTTATAACACTTTGCAAAGTATATGATCTAATCTGTAAGAGTTAGCACTACAGAGGATTTGAGAACAGAAAAGGAATTAGATACATTCTTTGCATTTTGGAGCCAGTCTTAAACTCTTTCTCCTGCAAGTAATCCAGCTGACTTGCAAGTTGAACTCCTAGTCGGTTTAAGTTTGAAAATAAGGCCTTGGGTCTTCCCCATGTTAATTTTAGGAAGCATTTCTGACTCTTTATTCTTATGTGAATAATGCACTGCAGTTTGAGCACATATGTTGAAGAATCCAGTTATACTGGAAAGAAAATTTGGGTCCTAAATGTACATTGAGACTCCTTTTAATAGAGCATAAATGTAGCTTTTGAAGTCATGTATGAAGACTATTAAGCATATCATAAGTACAGAGGAAGAGAGGCTATTAAACCTTACCTACAATTCTTCTGAGTTGTTTAAAAATGTAAGTTTTTTCCTATCTAAAGCTATAGTTTTTTTTATGTCATCCCTTCTTCTCACATTTCTTCTATGATGTTTAGCTGAAACTACTGATCATTTTAATTTTGTTCTACCTTTTAGAGCAGTATTTAAATAAAATCTTTAAATCACAAGTAATTTTTGGTTATCGTTATACCTTTAGCTGTGCAAACATTGGGAGATAATTTAATAGCATCCCAAGTCCTTCTAACTAGTGAAAAAAACCCTATGACTCTTTAGAATAGTAAGCGTACATCGAAAAGTTGTGAAAAGTATGTTCTGCCATTTGCCAGTGTCAGCTGAATAAAGTTTCTGTACATCTTACGTGAAACCAAGAATTTAAAAAGTAGCTTTTAAAGACAGAAGAAAACAATGGCTTATCAGATAAATGTTTTAATAAAGTGGGTAGCAAAGTGAGGAAAAATATTAAATGGAGTAAAGCAAAGACACTGGGTTTTGTAAGTTGGAGAAAGTGCCATAAAAGAGGTCAGAAATTATTTTTCTGTGTAGCTCAAGTCTTTAAAACCAAAATGTAACCATATTACTGGAGCTAAAATCAAGTAAAACAAGACAAGTCAAGCTCTGCTCTGCACTGTCCTGTGACCTCTTTCAAGCTTAGGCCAAGCAGCATACAACTAATGCACACAGCCTTTTACAGTACGATTTAAGCATCCTTTATCACCTTAGATACAGGCATCAGTGTTGTCTTCTTCAGGATGACTGGGAGAGCTCTGAGCATGCAGGGTGTCCTGCTGTGTCAGGACAGCATTACAACATTACTGCTCATAGGTGCAAACCTTTCAGCCTGGGGCGGGCTGCTGGCATAGTTCAGGAGCAGGTGAGAGCCACATTTTGTTACACAGGGTAGCTGTTTGTTACCATCAATAGTAACAGTGCATCTCTTTCAATTTTAAAGAGCAGTTAAAGCATTAAAACCCTGGGTGGTGGGAGGTTCAGTTCTGCAAATGGGAAGCACTTAGGCGCTGTTTTATTCAGCAGCACTTGAGCAGCAGGCACCAACAATGGCAGTATTCATTTCAATGCTAACTCTTTAACAAGGACAGGGGTTGCTCTTCAGAAAGCATGAAAACTGGTAAGTAGAATAAATAATAATTTTTTAAAATTGCATATAAAATAGAAAAAAAGAGTTAAAACAATTTTTGCTGAGCGTTATTCACTAGAAAAGTGCCATGGGGAAGGCAGGAGATAATTGCAACTCTAAAGAACTACATTGCTCTGATATGCTTTCCACAAAAGGACACTCCAGCCCATCAGCTAAAATTTAGGAAAGCTTGAAACTGTACAAGTCAGT